CACTTCTCATCCAAGGAGCTTTCTCAATTCAAAGAAACAAGGAGTGTTGGATTCAAGTTATAAGGCTGAGGTGTTCTGCAAGCTTGCATAATGCAGATTGACACATGCAGATTGACCTCTCACTCTTCACAATAGAGGATCGTTAGGGTCTTTGTTATTCCCACCCACAGAGCGGCCACTCTGGTTACATGGTTGAAATTCCTGATGGGTGTGAAACTGGCCGAGTATCAAGCCCCCAATATACTGCCGCGTACATCCATACGCAGAGGTACGCACGTACGTACGCAGAGGTACGTGCGTACCCCCCAGGGCATGTCCGTGCAAAGCTCAAATTTTTACGACCGCATATGCGTACGCAGTGTCGCACAATAAACTGCCCAGCGACGGGGACTGTTTTGTATGTGACACCAATGAATTAAATTCCCCTTCTTCATCTCTGATCTGGCCTTTTCTTTTTTTTTTTTGCCAAGAGGCAGTGATCTCTTCCTCCTCCGTTGATGCCATGACTGAAATGGTGAGAAATGGAGGAATTTGTCACGAGCAAATTAAACTCAGGTCCAGCTTGGCTGCGGGAGGGTCTGGAGATTTCCTGGTGGGCTGGTCTGATGTGTGGGCTGTAGAGCCAGCGCTCTGTTTTTTTTTTTATTTAGATCTTTTTATTAACAACATACTGTATAAACACAGAACACCGCTGCGTCTGAGGCTTCCAGCGCTCGCTTTTTTCTTTTTTCCGACCTGTCACTCAATCCAGTAGGCGACCAATCGGCTACCTCAATTTGTCCCGAAGGTAAACGCCCCTTGTCTGTGAAGCTGCTCTGCAGCTGCTCGGGGTGTACGCTGGAGTTTAATGACTGAACACTCTGCGTACAGTACGTACACGTGAACGGCCGTACGCGGCAGTATACTGGAGGCTTAAGTCCTAAAGCGCCATTGTAGGTTTTTGAAAGCTGAAATCTGAGACCTCCTCTGTTTAAAGATGGTTTCTCTCTTTTTACATAAACAGCTTCCTTCACTCCACTCTCAAACCATCTCTTCTCTTGTAAGAAAGCTGTTCATGTAAAAAGAGGGCTAACAAAGACTAGGCCTGTCACAATAACAAAT